GTAATTCAAATGTTCACTCAGAGCAAGGAACAATTCTTTTTCACCTCAAAGATGTCAACAGCACTGTTTACAAACTTCCAAATCCCATCCTTTTCCTTCTTCTATTCAACCTTCTAAACCTCATTAGGGATCATTACTGCCTTTTATTTCAAATATGCCAGTCTCAGTTATATATTTAAATCTTAAAATAAATTTGAGATAATATAGTTGCGCTTGTTATATTGGAGGAAAGGCAATTCATGGAAGCAGACTTTTAAAAACTAGTTAATTTTTCCAAAATCAAGTGGAGGTATCTACTCTAGGTAGATTAACTATTTCTTTATTTCTGCCAGAATGGCATGGACGGCTAATATCAGTTGGTATTAGTATTAGAACCAGGAAAAAAGACATTTTTTTCTCACTTGTGCATGTTTTTATCTTTTTAAAATTATTATTGAATTCCTTTGTTTTATTGTTGTGAGATATGGGCACCATATAAGCCACCTAGAGACAATGATTGAGATAGGCGGCTATAGAAATTGAATAAATAAATACAAATTTAATAAGTTATTATTTTTATTATCACTATAAGTTAAGATAAATAGGAACATAATTTTTAGGCAGAAGTTCCTATACATTTTTAGTTAGAAAGAATCAGACAACTGTAAATAACAACAACAACAACAATAATAATAATAATGTTGCAACGGACCTTGGAGGTCATTTAGTCCAACCCCCTGCTCAAGCAGGAAACCCTATATCTTTTCAGACAAATGGCTGTCCAGTCTCTTCTTCAAAACTTCCAGCGTTGAAGCATTCACAGCTTCTGGAGGCAGGTTGTTCCACTGGTTAATTGTTCCAACTGTCAGAAAATTTCTCCTTAGTTCTAGGTTGCTTCTCTCTTTGGTTAGTTTCCACCCATTGCTTCTTGTCCTGCCTTCAGGTGCTTTGGAGAATAACTTGACTCCCTCTTCTTTGTGGCAGCCCTCGGATATTGGAACACTGCTACCATGTCACTCCCCGTCTTTCTCTTCATTAGACTAGACATTCCCAATTCCAGCAACCGTTCCTTATATGTTTTAGCCTCCAGTGCCATGATCAAATTTGTTGCTCTTCTCTGTACTCTTTCTAGAGTCTCAACATCTTTTTTACATCGTCGTGACCAAAACTGGATGCAGTATTCCAAGTGTGGCCTTACCAAGGCATTGTAAAGTGGTATTAACACTTCACGTGATCTTGATTCTATCCCTCTGTTAATGCAGCTTATTAGCACTGTGTTGACTTTTTTGGCAGCTGCAGCACACTGCTGGCTCATATTTAAGTGATTGTCCACTAGGACTCCAAGATCCCTCTCACAGTTGCTACTATTGAGCAAGGTACCGCCTATACTATACCTGTGCATTTTGTTTTTCTTGCCTAAATGTAGAACCTTACTTTTTTCACCATTGAATTTCATTTTATTAGATAGCGCCCATATGTTCAAGTCTGTCAAGATCCTTCTGTATCTTAAGCCTATCTTCTGGAGTGTTGGCCATACCTGCCAGCTTAGTGTTGTCTGCAAATTTGATGAGTTCCCTATCTGTCCCCTCATCCAAATCATTGATGAAGATGTTGAAGAGCACTGGGCCCAGAACAGAGCCCTGGGGCACCGCACTACACACTTCCCTCCATGTAGATGCGGTTCCATTGAGGACCACAAGCTGAGTATGGCTGGTCAGCCAGCTACAAATCCATCTGGTGGTGATGCTGTCTAACCCACTTTTTCTATCTTATCAAGTAGTAGGTTGTGATCTACTTTATCAAATGCCTTACTGAAGTCCAAGTAAATTATATCCACAGCATTCCTCTGGTCCACTAATTTTTTCACCTGGTCAAAGAATGCAATAAGATTTGTCTGGCATGATCCGTTTTTGACAAACCTATGTTGGCTTTTGGTAATGACTTTGTTTGCCTCTAGGTGTTTGCTGATTCGTTGTTTGATTATCTTTTCCAGAATCTTCCCAGGTAGTGAGGTTAGGCTGATAGGTCTGTAGTTTCCTGGATCCATTTTTTCCCCTTTTTTGAAGATGGGAACTACATCAGCTCTTTTCCAGTCCTCTGGTAGTTCCCAAGTGCTCCAGGATCTTTGAAAGATATAATTCAGTAGTTCTGAGATCTGCTTTCTCCCTGTTGCTTGTCACCTTCTTGCCACTTTCTCCCACTAGTGAACT